GGTCTGATTTCTGTTTACCTTCGTTTTTTGTGACTGCATTTCCTACTGGTGCATGTTTTTGTCTCTTTACTATCTTCAGCACTTGTACTAACAATGGTGCCTTCACCAGCTTTTTCTGGTATTTTATCTTCACTATTCCTTGGGTCATCCCCTTGTTTACTATCTTCAGTGGTACTGCTAGTTTGTAACACTGGGTTTTGCATGTTCTTGTCTACACCTATTTCCCCACTAGAGTTCCTGTGTCCCTCCAGGCCACTAACATTCATTCCTCTATTCTTACAGTTACTGTCTACCAGGACAGCATTTGCACCAGGGGCGATACCATCTGACCCAGACTTGTAATTTTCCCATCTGTTACAGAATGCTGTCAGGTTTTCTATGAAAATCGTTTTGATGTTTTCGTCTTTTAATACCAATGTGATTATTTTTCCACTGGTTCTCATCTGGGCATACCCAAAAACACTTCCCTGGTTTAATATCTCTTGTAGATGAATACTGAATATCTGCACAAGATATGTGGGCCCATTTCCCACAGAAGTTGCACATAATCCATGCAGAAGCCCGTTTGTTACTGTGGTTGCAAGCTACACAGTTCCATAATGTGATTTTTTGTGGGGGTGTTATACTTTATATACAACTAATATACTGTATATACTACTATTGTATTTCATCTTCCTCGTGTCTCCCAAAATAACAATTTGCACAGGACATAGGTTGCATGTGTTAAAAAGTGTAAAATAATGATCGATTTCTACAGAGTAGTTGTCGGCAACGATATTATTATTATCTCTGGGAAGATGTATACCGAGGGAAGGGAAGGTTATAAGTGATGATACGGAAGGTCACCAGTGAGAGGAGGTAAAGTCAACACATCCTCCTGAATAAACATGGTGTTTCACTCTCACTGAGGACTGTGGGTAAAGTTTCGTTGACGCAAACTAATGCGAACGTGATCATGTGACTTTTGCACTCCGCTTGGTGCATCGCCATTTTCTGAGTGATAAAACCTCTTTATCCCCTTAATATATTTAATGTGTGTTTTTGGATGTTAATGAACGAAAATCTACCCAAAGGAAATGTAAATGACGAAATAAAGAGAAATAAGCTTAAATATAAACATAGGAGGATAAGTGGTATGAGGGGAGTGTGAGATTCGCCGGTATATGTCCCGGCCCAGCATGAGGGGAGGGAAAGTCAAAGGGAGAGGGAAGGGAAGGTCAATGGGAGAGGGGAAGGAAGGTCAAAGGGAGAGGGGAGGGAAGGTCAAAGGGAGAGGGGAGGGAAGGTCAAAGGAGAGGGGAGGGAAGGTCAAAGGGTGAGAGGAGGACAGAAGGTCAAAGGGTGAGGGGAGAGAAAATCATAGTCACGTCCCAACTCTGCTCCTCCCTCCCCACCACCATTCATAGCAGCCCGCCAAACCCTCCCACAAACCTCTTCCCCTCACTATTTTCTAATCCTCCACCACACCCACCCCAGCACCACACCCATCCATTCTATTCACTCTCCTTCCAACGCACTAGGACACGGGGAACAACTCAAGGACACGGGGGACAACTCAAGGACACGGGGGACAACTTGAGGGCATAGGGGATCAAAGGACACAGGGGTACAACACAAGGACACAGGGGTACAACACAAGGACACGAGGGAACAACACAAGGAACAACAAAAGGACACATGGAATAACACAAGGACACAAGGGAACAACACAAGGACACAGGGAACAATGCAAGGACACCGGGAACAACACAAGGACACATGGGAACAACACAAGGACACACAGGAACAACACAAGGACACATGGGAACAACACAAGGACACCGGGAACAACACAAGGACACATGGGAACAACACAAGGACACATAGGAAGAACACAAGGACACGGGGGAACAACACAAGGACACAGGGGAACAACACAAGGACACAGGGGAACAACACAAGGACACAGGGGGAACAGCACAAGGACACAGGGGAACAACACAATGAACACAGGGAACAACACAAGGAACACCGGGAAACAACACAAGGACACAGGGGAACAACACAAGGACACAGGGAACAACACAAGGACACAGGGAACAACACAAGGACACAGGGGAACAACACAAGGTCAAAGGGAACAACACAAGGACACAGGGGAACAACACAAGGACACAGGGGAACAACACAAGGACACATGGGAACAACACAAGGACACAGGGAACAACACAAGGAAACAGGGAATACAAGGACACAGGGAACAACACAAGGACACAGGGAACACAAGGACACAGGGGAACAACACAAGGACACAGGGGAACAACACAAGGATACATGGAACAACACAAGGACAGAGGGGAACAGCACAAAGCCACAGGCAACAACACAAGGACACAGGGGGACAACACAAGGACACAGGGGAACAGCACAAGGACACAGGGGAATAACACAAGGACACAGGGGAACATCACAAGGACACAGAGGAACAACACGAGGACACAGGGGAACAACAGGAGGACACAGGGAACATCACAAGGACACAGGGGAACAAAACAAGGACACAGGGGAACAACACAAGGACACAGGGGAACAACACAAGGACACAGGGAACAACACAAGAACACAGGGGAACAACACAAGGCCACAGAGGAACAACACAAGGACATAGGGGAACACAAGGACACAGGGAACAACAAAAGGACAAAGGGGGACAACACAAATACACAGGGGGACAACACAAGGACATAGGGAGACAACACAAGGACACAGGGGGACAACACAAGGACACAGGGGGACAACACAAGGACACAGGGGAACAACACAAGGACACAGTGGAACGACACGAAGTCAAAAATGGAAAAACCATCCTGGGTGTGGGGTATGGCAGGAAAACCGTCCTGTGATGGTGTGTGACAGGGAAAACCATCCTGTGATGGTGTGACAGGGAAAACCATCCTTTGATGGAGTGTGACAGGGAAAACCATCCTGTGATGGTGTGTGACGGAAAACCATCCTGTGATGGAGTGTGACAGGGAAAACCATCCTGTGATGGTGTGTGACAGGGAAAACCATCCTGTGATGGGGTGTGACAGGGAAAACCATCCTGTGATGGAGTGTGACAGGGAAAACCATCCTGTGATGGTGTGTGACAGGGAAAACCATCCTGTGGTGACAGGGAAAACCATCCTGTGATGGAGTGTGACAGGGAAAACCATCCTGTGATGGTGTGTGACAGGGAAAACCATCCTGTGATGGAGTGTGACAGGGAAAACCATCCTGTGTGATGAAATATAACAGGAAAACCACCCAGAATGGAGTATGGCAGGAAAACTATCCAGAATGGAGTACAACAGAAAAATCATCTTGTGTATTGAAGTATAACAGGGAAAAACCATCCTGTGAAACATGACAGGAAAACTATCTTGTGTGAGATGGGTTAATAGTTGAGGATCATCGCCCTCGCGGCCTGGTCTCAGACCTGACCTCATAATATGGAATAAAACCATTACGGGTATAAGACAAATTAGAAATAAACGTACACTGTACACTGATTCTAAGTAGAAGTTTTTAAGATCTAGCTGTCATATAAAGAGCTCATGAGGCAGAGCAGAAATCCTGCCAGAGTGCAATACATTTGGTAGACAAGTATAACAGAATGGTTGTACCTCCCTGTCTGGTTACTGTCGAACATTGTAAAATGTACCTTAACAAATTTTGGTTGTACTAAAACCCTACCAGTGTTATTAAGTACATAACTTATCATGTCACCAATGTATATTCTTCGACAAATTTAAATTGAAAAAACAAAAGTAACAAAATTACACTTCCGAAAATACTACCAAATTATTATTACTATATTCATGAGGGTAGCGCTAAACCCGTAAGGTTGATACAGCACACTGTAAATAGGAGGTAATCAGGTTTGATCCAAGGGGATGGAGAGTTTCCCCAACACCTTCAGATCAAAGGCCCTTCACCAGCTTCAAGGTACTCCCGTAGGGTAACATTACCAGATGCATCAACTAAAGAAACTCAGAACAAGACGGCTGCCACATAAGCACCAAACTTCGCTACAACTTCACTATTCAACTTGACGAACAAGAAAGCAGTTATGCCATAAATATAAAAATCAGTCGGTTCGACTTTGCCCAAAATGAAAGTAAAGATGAACCTATCAAAATTATTTTTTTTATATAAAAATCTTAGAACTATCTACTCTAAAGTTGTGTTAGCACCATGACAATAAGAACAGGTGCTGTTAACCCCTCCCCCCTCTTCTGATGTTAAACACTTATACATCCTGAATGATAATCCCAATCTTTATAGACACAAAAGGTCACATATGGGCCATGGAGGATGCTTATTTACCTGTAAACTTATCAGTTACACTTGCAATTGTCTCTACCATCGCGTCGGTATCTCATGTTACCAATCCAAACAAACTTGCTCACTTGGTTCATTCGTCAAGCATAATTTTTCCCTACGTATAATGTAAATTCATTGTTGTAATAATTCTTGAAATCGTTTAGAATATCACGAATATGTATTTAATTGGTGTTACTTAACACTACTATATTTAGGCTGATCTGAGATTGTGTAGGAATAATCAATATATTAAGTCAATCTGAGCAAGGCTAGGTTAGATTGTTAACTTAGTTTTGGTATAAAATAAAAAATGCAGTGTTAATCCACATAACTATTTACAAGTGCATAATGCAACTTCTTCCCCGAAAAAAAAATCGAAGCATCTGAGACGGGCTAGTTTGATGACTTGGCTTGTCTAGGCGGCACGATGAACCTTGTTTTTCCACACCGTTGTCACAAAGTAGAGTGGCAAGTCAAAAAAAAGTTTTGAAGTCTATCGCCAACACGAGCACCAAAACGCAGATTATCTGTACACCATCAATTAAAAACACTATAATCCCTATAATGGAGGTAATACTAAACTCAGCATGTAAACACAGACACATTTCGGTGTATAAAGCCTTGTTAAAGGCAAGGCAGACACTTATAGTACTCACTTTGAAGGTGATATTTGAACCACAACATCAACGGGTGACTTTGGCGGGTCAGGCTCAGAGGGGTTTTGAGTTGTTGGCCCATCTCGGCCTGACTGCTCATCCCCTTCAATAGCCACGCTCAGTACCATATGGCCGACGAATACAAAACTAGAACTATTTCCCTCTTTTGTTTATTCTCCAATAAATTCTATTAAACACATATAAGGTAGATTTGGCGAGTAATTAAATTCAGAGTTTAATGTTAATCAACCAATTTCTAATCATTAGCTGAAAGAAATGTGTATCATCCACGAGCTAATGTATTTTACATTGGAGCTAAGAACCCACAAGCTAACGTATATGATGGACGGGAACTCGACTATCCAGGAGCACCTTCACCCCTTCCGCCAGGCTCAGCTTGTGACTGACTAGCCTAGCGACACCCCTTTAAGGGCAGGATTCACGTCGATAGTGGAAGACAGAGGGAGAACACGAGTGTCCTGCGCCGGTGCCGCCTTCACAGGGGGGGGGGGGGTAGGAACGTGTCCATAGTCCAACCTCCCATCAGAATAACATCAAACTATATGATGCAACGCCTACTTCTTCGCACCCCTTAAAAGTGGAACTGTGGACACTCAACGCCAAGACAGAAGAATATTATATAATTATAAATATAAATGTATATACAAGGGATGAAACGATACCAAAATTTTGGCCAATACCGATACGCAATTTTCGGCCGATGCCGATACTCTTCCTATATTTTTTTTTCATTTTCAAAATTATAATGACTATGTTCAATATACAAAGGAATGCTTATTACACAATGGGTATTAAATAACACAAAAAGGTTAAATATTAATAACTTAATTTCTTTGAGATGAGTGTAAGCATGCCTCTGGCAAGACAGTGATGGAGTGAATGATGTAAGTTTTTCTTTTTCGGGTCACCCTGCCTTGGTGGGAAACGGCCGATGTGTTAATAAAAAATAAAATAAAAATAATGTCATTACTCAATACTTGGCCTGTTGTGTTTGTTACTGGCACTAGCTTTTGTGTATTTACCTATTTGTGGTTGCAGGGGTCGATTCACAACTCCTTCCTTTACCCCCCTCCCCCCCGTGTGTTTGTACTCACCTAGTTGTGGTTGCAGGGGCAAGTCACAGCTCCTGACCCTGCCTCTTCACTGGTCGCTACTAGATCACTCTTCCTGCTCCATGAGCTTTATCATACCTCTTCTTAAAGCAATGTATGGATCCTGCCTCCACTACATCACTTCCCAAACTATTCCACTTCCTAACAACTCTGACTGAAGAAACATTTACTAACATCCCTGTGATTCATCTGAGTCTTCAACTTCCAACTGAAACCCCTTATTGCTGTGTCCCGACTCTGGAACATCCCGTCTCTGTCCACCTCGTCGATTCCTTCCTTCCTTCCTTCCTTGCCCCCACCACCTCCCTCCCTCTCTCTTCTCGCTCTGCTCCTCGCTTCGTCTCTCGCTCTGCTTCTCTTCGTCTCATCTCTCTCTCTCTCTCGCAAATCGAACATCTCATCTTCTCTCTTCTCACTCTCTCGCTCTTCTCTCTCGCTTCTCTTCTCCTCGCTCTCTCTCTCGTCTCTCTCCTCTCTCTGCTTCCTCTCTCTCTCGCTCTTCTCTCTCTCTCTCTCTCTCCCCTCTCTCTCTCGCTCTCTCTCTCGCTCTCTCTCTCGCTCTCTCTCTCTCTCTCTGTGTATGTGTGTGTGTACTTACCTAGTTGTAATCACCTAGTTGAGGTTGCAGGGGTCGAGTCCAAGCTCCTGGCCCCGCCTCTTCACTGGTCGCTACTAGGTCACTCTCCCTGAACCGTGAGCTTTATCATACCTCTGTTTAAAGCTATGTATGGATTCTGCCTCCACTACATCGCTTCCCAAACTATTCCACTTGCTGACTACTCTGTGGCTGAAGAAATACTTCCTAACATCCCTGTGATTCATCTGTGTCTTCAACTTCCAACTGTGTCCCCTTGTTGCTGTGTCCCATCTCTGAAACATCCTGTCTTTGTCCACCTTGCCAATTCCTCTCAGTATTTTATGTGTCGTTATCATGTCCCCCCTATCTTCCTGTCCTCCAGTGTTTTTCAGGTTGATTTCCCTTACCCTTCCCCTCGTGGACATACCTCTTAGTTTGGGGATGTCTTGTTGCAAACCTTTGCATTTCCTATTTTCTTTACGTGCTTGGCTAGGTTAGGTTCCAAACGGGTGCCGCATCCCCAATATGGGCCTAAAGTATACGGGTACGGGGTCCTAAACGATTCCTTTTTAAAGAGTCGGAATGTTTTTCTGAGTTTGCTAGGCACCCATTGCTGCAGCAGTTTTTTGGTTGAGGGCCTTCAGGAGATGTCCGGGTGTTAATCACCCCCCAAAACTTTTTCCTTGAGCGGGTTTGTAGTGTCGGGCCCCCCCTAGACTGTACTGTCTGCGGTCCTCTTTCCCCTTCCCCAATTTCATTTTTGCACTTGGGGGATTGAACTCCAGGAGCCAATTGCGGGGACCAGGTCTGCAGCCTGTCCAGATCCCTTTGTAGTTCGCCTGGTCTTCGATCAAAATGAATTTTCTCATCAACTTCACGTCATCTGCAAACAGGGACACTTCAGAGTCTATTTCCTTTCGTCATGTCTTCACAATACCAGAAACACACTGGCCCTTTGGGAAACTGACCCCTGGGGGACCCCAAGGGGTTACGGTGCCCCCCTTGACACCTCCCATGTACCATGACTCGCTGCTGTCTTCCTGACAAGTTTTCCTGACCATTGTGTGCCTTCCTGTTATCCCTGCTTGGTCCTCCAGTTTTTGCACTAATCTCTTGTGTGGAACTGTGTCAAACACCTTCTTGCAGTCCAAGAAAATGCAATCCACCCACCCCTCTCTCCCTTGTCTTACTGCTGTCACCATGTCATAGAACTCCAGTAGGTTTGTGACACAGGGTTTCCCGTCCCTGAAACCATGTTGGCTGCTGTTGATGAGATCATTCCTTTCTAGCTTTTCAGGCATTTGTGGCTGAGTGGATAAGAGCGCTGTCTGGGAATCTGCCTGTCTCAGTAGCAGTATCAATCCTGAACATTAAAATGGTATAAAATACCGACAGGTTGTTAGTTAAGACACATATGCAACAGTTAGGCATCTTTATTTCGAAACATTTCACCTACACAGTAGGCTTCTTCAGTCGAGTACAGAAAAGATATTGTTTCAGACTATGGAAAATGCTCTTCTCCAGACTGAGGGACTGACCACCTCAAAACTTCAAGGGTGATGGACTGATTACATCGTCTTCAAGTATCTTCTGCTTCTATCAACTTTTCTGTACTCGACTGAAGAAGCCTACAGTATAGGCGAAAAGTTTCAAAATAAAGATACCTAACTGTTGCATATGTGTCTTACCTAACAGTATCAATCCTGCTGACTGCGATCTTTCTCTGTATATAGCTGCTTGTTTCTGCATGGTGCACTGATATATATATATATATATATATATATATTATATATATATATATATATAATATATAATATATATATATATATATATATCGTCCTTTCTTTCAACACACTGGCTGTATCCCACCGAGACAGGGTAGCACAAAAGAAAAAATTAAGTTTCTCCTTTTACATTTTGTAATATATACAGGAGAAGGGGTTACTAGCCCCTTGCTCCTGCATTTAGTCATCTCTTACAACATGCATGGCTTACGGAGGAAGAATTCTGTACCACTTCCCCATTTAGAATATATACATGTGTGTGTGTGTGTGTGTGTGTGTGTGTGTGTGTGTGTGTGTGTGCGTGTGTGTGTGTGTGTGTGTGTGTGTGTGTGTGTGTGTGTGTGTGTGTGTGTGTGTGTGTGTGGTGTGTGTGGTGTGTGTGGTGTGTGTGGTGTGTGTGGTGTGTGTGTGTGTGTGTGTGTGTGTGTGTGTGTGTGTGTGTGTGTGTGTGTTTGTGTTTTGTGTGTATGTGTGTTGTGTGTGTGTGTGTGTGTGTGTGTGTGTGAGTGTGTGTGTGTGTGTGTGTGTGTGTGTGTGTGTGTACATTTATGTCGTGCCGAATAGGCAGAACTTGCGATCTTGGCGTAAATAGCAACGCTCATCTTGCCATATAGGACAAGTGAAAATTTGTGTATGCAATAATTTCGCCAAAATTATTCTGAACCTTACGAAAAAAAATATATTTCACTGTGTTTGTTTAGTATGAAATTACTGTAAAAAAATCTAAAATGTATTTAGCTGGGTTAGGCTAAAATAAATTGTTCTTGTTATAATAAGGTTAGGTAAGTTTTCTAAGTTCCTTTTGGTGCAAAATTTATTTTTTTTACATTACCTGGAGTTTACCTGGAGAGAGTTCCGGGGGTCAACGCCCCCGCGGCCCGGTCTGAGACCAGGCCTCCTGGTGGATCAGAGCCTGATCAACCAGGCTGTTGCTGCTGGCTGCACGCAAACCAACATACGAGCCACAGCCCGGCTGATCCGGAACTGACTTTAGGTGCTTGTCCAGTGCCAGCTTGAAGACTGCCAGGGGTCTGTTGGTAATCCCCCTTATGTGTGCTGGGAGGCAGTTGAACAGTCTCGGGCCCCTGACACTTATTGTATGGTCTCTTAACGTGCTAGTGACACCCTGCTTTCATTGGGGGGATGGTGCATCGTCTGCCAAGTCTTTTGCTTTCGTAGTGAGTGATTTTTCGTGTGCAAGTTCGGGACTAGTCCCTCTAGGATTTTCCAGGTGTTTTTAATCATGTATCTCTCCCTCCTGCGTTCCAGGGAAAACAGGTTTAGGAAACCCCAA